TGATTGGTTTGTTAAACAAAAATATACTGGGCATATAAATGTCTGTTACAGGTTAATTCGTTAAAGAAATATGTTACACACATATTATTTTAATAATAATAGTATAATAGTAATGGCTATATTATGTTATAACACATTATTGAATTAACAATTGAAAACAGTATTGAATGTACTTATTTTAACCAATGCATTGTTTTGTTTTTTTAATCTCACAAATAAGAAATATTTTATAGTTTTTATTATAAAAAACAGTGATTATACAATTTATTTACACCCCTTACACTGTTTTCTGTAAGGGGTGTAACCAGGAGTATATTTCGTAACCTTTTACGATATAAGAGGGCACAAAGTGTTTTATTACTTAATGCTTAAAATTTAATAATATATTTGTACATAAAATAAAATAGACTAGAAAGTCAATTAATTAATATTGACGTAATTACTAAATAAGTACAAGATTTTTTTTCTAATTATTTTAGTGTATTTTTAGTCACCGAATTATAAAGGAGAGATATCCAACCATTGCATTATTTTACTCACAAATAAATGTTTTATGGTTTTTATTATAAAACAACGATTAATTTATTATACACCCCTTAACCCAAACACTCCAAGGAGGATATTTCGTGACCCCGTATTTAAAGTGGACAAGGTTTATTAGTCAATGTTTTAATTACCCAGCGTCTTTAATAAAAATCTAATGTAATTTTTCATAGAAATGATCTGACATGAAAAGCAAATTTTATCAAAAAACTTTTTGATTATCTACAAGGAGTAAACCGCTGACAAATGTCTGTATACTAATGCCAAAGTAATGCCAAAAATACAAATTAAATACCAAAATTTCTCATATAATGCCCCACTAATGCCAAGCTGATTCCAATATAATACCACTAATACCACGAATAATATGTAACACATTTGTTTCACGAATTAACCTGTAACAATACTGGTAGGTACGTGCACAGATTTTTTCCTAGGTAACTTAAAAGTCGTTAAAAAGTCTAATTATATTTAAAGAAGATATAATTCCAACAAATTACATTATAAGGCCAATAATGCACAAGTAATACCATTAAAATTTTAGCGTTTTTAACTTGTGTAACATATTTCTTTAACGAATTAACCTGTAACAATAGTGGTAGGTACGCGCACAGATTTTTTCGCTAGGTAACTTATTAAGTCGTTAAACAGGCCTATAAAAGCTATAACAACATAGGTAACTAATATTTATAATTTAATTCGAGTTTTAATCTCAAATAATAAATGTTTTTACTGGTGTATTTCTGAAGTGTTCATTATTAAAAGTAGATATTCTTCAAGTTATGCGAAGTAATAAGTAATGTTTCCGGTGAGACCGCGTATATGTCACCGGATTCTGGTTAGTATAAAGACTTTTTCTATAGAAAGAGTTTTTTCTATATTTTCCTTTCAAAATAAGACTAATTTCTTCTTATTCTTTTAAATATTACAGTGTTTCTTTTTCCTAAAATGTTATACTTAATTTTCGCTTAAAATTAAAAAATCACAAATGGAGGAAAATATACGTTATTGAATAAAGTTTATACAAATCACTTTACCATAACAAAAAAGTAAAAACATGTCATGGCGGAAGATATTCAGGTGGCATTTCACACATTTATCTATTAAAATCGAGATTAAAATAATAAACTTGCGAACATGTTATACACGAGATAGAAAATTTCAGAATCGATTAATACGCAATACGCTACGCAGTCAACTTATTCCTATGCGCGGATGAGCGTCTTCAAGACTCTTCCTTCGGCCAGGGTCACGACGCCGTCGAAGAGGAATCGGCCTACGTTTGGCTAAACAGGCTGGACACGGAGTACGATATTGGCGAGTCTGACTATTTATAAAAATTTGCAAAGTAAAATATGTTGGAAAAATAATTAATCCATACATATATAAAAGCTCAAAGGGTTTTTTTGTTGCATCCATCCCGCCGAAACCGCTTTACCAATCTTGATGATTCTTTTTTTAAATGAAAAGTATATATGTGTAGATTTGTTATGAAGTATTTTTATAGTGCTTAATGGCTATTTCTTTGTATAAAACGACTAAATACTAAAACATACCTGAAAAACACCTACACACAATACCTCCAGAAATAAATTATTTGTCATTGTCAGTGGTGTGTCAGTTAGATTATATATAACGTTTTTAGATATTTTAGAGTGAGTTCATGCCGCCAGCTTTACATACATAAATATTAGCACAAAGGTTCGTTTAAACGACATTAGTGAATTAGCTACACAAAGCGATTTTAGGAATTCATCCTCTTAGAGAGTAAAATTATGTCGGAACAGTTTGTTGTATGAAAATTTCTTACTATTTGGTCTAGAAGAATGAAATCCTACAAAAAGAATTAGAAGAAATTTTTGAAATTCATTAACCAAATGGGTAAAGTTAGTAAAAATTTATATAAAACTTGGTGACCTCTGGATTATACACATAAAAATTGACACAAAGATAAAGCGAATTTATGAAATTTATACACTTAGGGAGTAGAATAGGGAATGAAAGTTTGCTGTACGAAAATGCAATACTATAACATTATAAACCAGACAGTATAAAATTTTATACAAGGGTTTATTTAGTGACATCATAAGGAAATATATCTTCCTCAATTATCCTTCAAAGAATAATAAATAACCTATAAAGAGAGTATTAGTGCTCTTAATAAATAAAAAAAAAGATGAAAAATAAAAAACATCTATGTTCACTAGCTCTCTATAAAGAAGTAAAAAATCATTTAAATCAATGCATGAACGATTCAAGGTGTAACGCGAACGTAGTCGCGGGAAAAAGCTAGTAATTTATTAAATTATTTTATTTAACTGATTTTCATTGAAAAGGAATTTTTGTAATTCGCCACTATATTAGTTAAAAATTAAGAAACTCATATCAAATTTAAGTTTTGCGATTTTGACTTATACTTTTTACAAAATCGGAACACATTTTAAAAGAAAAAAGCTTTTGATAATGAAATGTTTGTGTAGATTGACTACAAGTTGTATAACATAAATTTCTACGACCGGTCTACCTAGTGGTCTGCAGCATCGCCTTGTGGTGCAAACGTGGGCCTCTTAATCTGTTACGTGACGCACAACAGCCAAGAGAAACAGAAACGTGGCTAAGAATTTAGTAATTTAAAAAAAAGTCTTTTAGATACAGTAGTAGGTATTAAAAAGTTTTTTGTTTAAATGGGGTTTGCCTTTAACAGTTAAAAAATTATATCGTAAAGTGTAACTTTCCGTAAGAATTCTTTTTTTTTGCTTGCTTGTTTTACAGATAGGTGCGATCGCATTTATTATTGATAATGTATTATCGCAAATTATTATTGATAATGTTTTATTTAATTTTAACATTACTACTTTTTCAGTGAATCTTTAAATCTGTTGTTTTTTGTTAAGTTCGTTATTTAAACATATGTATGTAATACACTCATATTAACACTAATCATATTTTTACGTTTTTATTCATCATTTTCAATGCCCCCCCGGTTGCATCTTTGTAAAGGACTGTGAATTTTTTTTATTTAAAAACCGGTCAGTTTTTCGGAAAAAACTCTTAATTTTAATCGTATATTTTATTAGGTTCTTTTACATATTTTAAGATATTTTAAAAATTTATACAGGGTGTTTCATAAAGTATGATCATTGAGTAATCACGATTCTGCTTAAACTGCTTGACGTTTAAAGCTGATTTTTGGCAAACAGATTGGCTGCGGGGTGTAGAGGTTCAATATGGAGGGGTTTCTCGAATCTCAAATTCCAAGAGGGTGAAAAACGCCCCTTAAATATTACAATATTTTTGTTATTTAAAAAACAGTCTTTCGGGAAAACGCTTAGACACGCATAATTTATTTTGTTTTTTACATATTTTGAAACTTTTTAAAAAATCATACAGGGTGTTTCAAAAAGTTGGGCAATTGATTAACCACGATTCTGCTTAAACTGCTTGACGTAAAAAGCTTATTTTTGGCAAACGGATTTTTCAAATTCCAATGAGATGAAACTACCCCTCAAATATTAGTTATATAATAATATCGCCATATTGTTTTTTCTCATGCTGACATAAATGTGAGAAAATTTTTATCTAGTTTGTATGTTAATGGAAATTCTTGCTTTGCAGTATCATCACCATTACAAATGATTAATTCGACGCGAAAGAAGTCGCGGGTACACGCTAGTAAATATATATAATACTTTTGAAAAGATGAGGGTAAATTAAATATGAAAAGGTATACAGGGTGTAAAATAAAAAAAAATGAGTCATATTTGGAAAATTACAGCTCCCAGAATATAGTTAAGCCACTGGATTCTATGTGAAAAAATTCTATAGATTCCTTACCTTCTCAATAATTTATAATACCTTCTCAATAAGTTATAAGATAACCAAAACAGAAAGAGGGGAAAATCCAATATTTTAAAATTCGCCTTGTATTTCAAGAACTAAGAGGGTTAAGACAAATCTGTGTGTAGCATATTTAATTCCATCAAAAAGGAACTTGTTAATGTAAAAACTGCATATTATAATAATTAATTCGTACCTATTCGTAATCAAAAAATTCCATAAAATACACGATAATAGGACACCCTGTACTCCAAAACAAATGAACGTAGTTTATATCAAACTTTATGATTTGATAAATATTTTGCATATCTAAAATTCATGTTTATTCTAATTTTCTATTTTACTGTTAATTTTTAGTTAAATTGGCAGAATAAACGATATTAATGATTTTTAATATATTTTTATAGTATATAGGGGAAATAAAAGACCACACTTTAAAAACATTTTTAATGATTTGAAAATGTCCTGTCCATTATTATTTTATTATTATTTTTTAATATTGTGTAATTATAATTATTTAGATAAGTAAATTTCGAAAACAAATCTAATTTTTGAGTAATAACATTTCTTGATTGTACTAGTCTAGTTGCCTTATGAAATGAATGGCTTGTTGGTCTTTCTAATGTTTTTTTTTGTTTAACGTTCTACTTCTCTACATGTCCCATCTTCTGCCAGCTCTAAAGGTTTCTTGCAGGGAGGTAGAATTATTGGCCTATAATTTCTCTTAAAAAAAAAAAAAAAAATATATATATATATATATATATATATATATATATATATATATATATATATATATATATATATATATATATATATATATATATATATATATATATATATATATATATATATATATATATATATATATATACCGGGTGCGTGACAAAAGTGACTCACCGCTATAACATTTTTATTTTTTAGATAAAAAAACGAGATTTGGTATGTTACAAATTAGACCTAAATTAGGATTGATTGACGTATTCAATTATTTTTGGTCACTTCCTGTTTAACTGAAAATAACTACAACTTTTGATTTTTAAATGACACCCTCGTTATTTTTTTACTTTATTCTATAGACGCTTTGACGATGACACTCTGAATGAATAAATATCATGTGTCAACTTTTCATATTTTCGTATATTGGCTTATTTGAAATTGTATCATGCGGTTTATAACGATAATTTGACTCAAAATACGTGTGCGGTACCAAATTATTCGTAAATAATTTTTTAAATATGCTAATAAGCCACCCTTGTCCCATTTCAAAAAATGAGATATCATTAAAAAACGATTTGGGCATTTTTAAACCGGCCAAGAAAAGACACAAAAAACATTAGATGACCAAATCTATTTTGTTCAAGGCTTTTTGATTAAAAATTAGTGTTTTTAACATAGTCATAGCACTCTAGTTTGAAATTTAAAAGACGACTTTTTTATAAGCGTAATTGTCAAAAGTTTACATATAATATGTCATTCTATTCGTTCTATTCATGGTATCCTTTGCTATCGAATAAAGTAAAAATATACCTGGGGTGCCATTTAAAATTCAAAAGTTGTAGTCATTTCCGGTGAAACAGGAAGTGACCAAAAACAATTGAATGCGTCAATCAATCCTAATTTATGTCATATCTATACTAATATACCAATTCGTTTTTTATCTGAAAAAATAAAAAAAGTTATAGGGGTGAGCCACTTTTAAGGCGCACTCGGTATTGTATACTGAAATCTATAATAACGCTATAATGTTTTCATTTTAGTTGTTCCGACATTTAACTGATTATAACTTTTTTGTTTTTAGAAATCGACTATTTACTTAAAAATTAAATTGTAGGGTTTTTAGTCCAGTTTCTAGAGTGTATTGGATACCATATTTTTATTTGATTTCAAACATTATCCCATACGCTCTTTTCCTTTATCAGTTTTAACAAAATGCGATAAAATATACATCAATGTTAATTATGTTTATTCATATCAAGGTAGTTGCCATATCATTGATTACACATTTATACGATATGAAACTCTTAAAAAGGGATGTATGATATATTTTTGAAATCAATAAGAAATGTGCTATTTAATACAACTTCTAATATAGACAGTTGCCAACTTGACAGTGGTTAAAAAAAGGTTAAAAAGCCATTGTCAAGATGTCAAGTTGTTTACGATTAAAAAGTCGTGTTGGTACAAAAATAAATAATTAACAGTATTTTCGGAGTACACATTTTAATCAGGTTTTCTTTATTCTTTTTGTTTTTTGCTACTTCTTGATTCTGAGATGTTAGACAATTTACACTGACAAACTGGTTTTTGTCTGGATTCTATGCAGTGGAATTTTACAAAAAATAACTTTTTTGTTTTATAGATTTCTATTTCAGTTGCGAAATACCCACAATTTTTTTAAGAACCAAGTTATAGACATTATTTAGTTACTTACCTCTTTTGGACCTTGAGTTACAGTAGCTGGGACACTTTCGATGTTATCTACCATTATCAGAAAAAAGCACATTACTAAAAGGCAATACTTCCCATCAGTCATCTTGTCTTCTTTTATGGAGGACTACATACCGCAAACTAAATTTAAAAATTAGTTACTATCATTTATATTATATGATCTTGGTCATGTGGACATTAATTACTTCACCGTTGTGCTTTTTCTAAACATTTAATTAAAAATATAAAAATAGATTTTTATGTTAGTGTTGTCATATGTTTTCTTGGTAAAATACTAATAAATAAGGATTATGCGTATCTATTAATGATAAATAAAACCGATTATATATACCTAGTGTGTCAAAAAAAGAGATGATATACCATGCACTACAAACCGATGCTAAGTTTGTTCGTGAAATAAACGTTCAGAGTTTTTTAGAAAAAATTAAAGATTTCAGTTAACGTCTCCTTTTTGCTGCCAGGGCTAATCTGGACGGGGCCTACTTTGTTTACACGGAATTCGAACCGCGGTCATCGGTCATATCATGGTCAGTGACCTACCGACTTAGGAAGTGTCTAAATCAAAGAGGGCTGGTAAATGAAAACCATTGATAATTTTAGCGAGGTCAATCTGTAGAAGTTATTTACTAAAATTGAAATAGAACTTAAAATTAATACTAATAATTATAAAAACATTAAAAAAGGATAGAAGTTTCCAGAGATATATCTATTTTTCTCTAATTTTAAACTATGCCTACTATTTAAAATACTTTTTACTCAGTATAAAAGTAAAATACAACGTTTTTAATGCCAACTGGTAGTAAGCAATAGTCCTCACAATAGGAATTGACCTCAAATCCAAGGGGGCAATAGAGAAAGAGAGACATATCCTCTATTATAGATACGGGACAACACCGTATCTAAGGAGATACCAAGTTAAAGAGGTGGAGAAAATCGAGACAGATCTTCCAGCCTCACGGGTACCTCAGCCGGAAGCAAGCTCCTCGACTGTGCAGAGCACGGAGGGCCAAACTCCAACCGTGGAAGGGTGTGTACCGGTTGTGTATGTGGTAGAAATAAAAAGTAAACGCTACAGACAACATAGAATAAAACGATAAAACGTAAAAATATGTACAATTGAATTAGTAATTGGTTGCTTTAAACCAAAGTGTAGCTTTTTAGATACCTATATTTTAGATATATATCCCGATCTTTCCAGAAAATCAAAAAGTTTTGGTTGCTCATTTGTAGAAAAAATAACTGACATGTCTGACGAAAGATTGCAGGCCTCTCTTAGGTTAATTAACTGACTACATTCCTTAAGGATATGTTTGACAGTTAAAGGATTACTACATTTATCACATAGGTCCTTAAGCAAAAATGATGAGAAAACGGTGGTTGGTCCTTAAAAAAAAATTGATGAGAAAACATAACATGAGTCTGTTAATTACTACGGCTTTGCGACGATCATAACTCGATGTGGAGAAACCATAGAAGAATGTCTTTTAGATATTACAAGAGTTTGTTAGGTTCCTCCAGAAGATCCCACTCCAGTTGAACCAGGGATTTGCACAGTCGGGCGATTTTTGTGAGCAGACAACCCGTGGAATAAACTGATAACCTATCTGTACATGTGTATGATGGGTTATAGACTGTGTGATGACTCAAGGAAGGGGGGCACAATAGATCTTTAAGGTCGCAGTGATTAACCCCCCCTCTCACTCATTCTCCATTCTGGTACTAAGCGCCGTTAAACAATAAAGAAGAGTACGAAATGATGTTTAGTTCTTGACCTCGCCAAAATTCATCGTTTGCATTCCCCAACCGTCTTTGACGCCATTTAATCATATCGTACGGTATAATAATGGGTTGGTAACAGGGTAACTGAAAATGAATAAATTAATTGCTGCGTTTCAGTTGGTTAGGTCAAACAATGAACGAATGTTACTAAGTGTCATGATGTTTGCCGACAATACATGAAACGACTAGGCCTTTAGGGGATTTCAGTATATTAACGCCGATATTAGTACAAAATGCATTTTCTAACTTTTTATCATATGGGGCCGGTTTAAATTAGGTACCCAAAGCAATCGAATAATGGGCTCTTTCACAAAAAATAAAATACCCAATTCAGGGACAAAATCTGAAATAGAAGACTATTTTCAGTATATTTATCCATAAAAATAGTTCCATGACATTGAATAATTTTTTATAGGCCCTTTTTAATTGCTTTGGTAATTAATCATTTTAAAGTGCCAATTGATGACGTATGAAAAATACGCCCAATCACATTGCAAAACCGTGCTCGTGCACTATGCAGCCAACAACTGGCAACATTGCGATTTGATTTGACGTGCATGTTGAATAATAAATTTGAGGTTAAATTTTTCGTTTACTCCGTTTGTGAAAGCTCGTAATCAAATTTTAAGTTTTAAATTGTTATTTTTTGATAATTTGTTCCATCATGGTCGTACCAGAACCTGGATTCGAAAAGGCGTCATCTGATAACCTTCCAAAAGTTGACACCCAAATGGTTCTTTTTTTCTTCTTCTTTTTTTTATGATGGCTCTGCTACAAGGCAACCGCCAGCTCAATTTGGGAGTGACCAAGATGTTGACTGGCTCTAAACCATATCAAGGCCACTGATTCTTATCTGAGTAAAATGTATAATGGGTAAATTTTAATATAACTAACTTCTATGAAGGTAACCTGTGACCTGTGACTGTAAAATGTTATTATTATTATTTATTAAATATATAAATGACGTGCTGAAAGGAAGATTATATCACACACAAAGGCACATAGGATAGAGGTCACACAAACAGACTGCATTCGGAAACTGAAACAAAAAGAAAATAAAAAATAGAAAGTTGAGCATTATAATTTAATTCTATTAATGTTTAAAAATATCATAATAGTTTCTATTAATTTTTCACTTGGCTTAGACAAAACTGTAAATATTGATAGTGGAGTAGGAAAATTCATTTCAATAAATTTTTGATATAAATCCAAATTAAACAAAAAATTTATAGGACATTCTAAAAAGATATGATTTAGGTCTTCAACAGAGCCACACTCACAGAATGGATCTTCCTTCACTTTAATTTTATATAAATGGTTTTTTGTTAAGCAATGGCCTGTACGCATTCTAATTAACGTTGTAATATGTCTTCTATCTATATACTGGAAATTTTTAAACCATTGTTTATCTGGGAAGATTGTTTGTATATTAAAATACACATGCTTTTTTCCTTTCATACGAGATTTCCAATTTTCCTTATAATTACACAAAATATCAGTTTTAATTGAATTAAAAATATCTATTGAATCCATCTCCATAGATTTCGGAATATTTAAATCTTTTCCAATATTAGCCAACAAATCTGCCTCTGTATTTCACAAGATATTGGAATGACCTGGAATCCAGGCAATCCTGATGTCAAAACCATTAGAATTTGCTAAACAAATTAAACGTTTGGTTCTTAAGGTCCAATAATCACCAGATGCTTTAAAGAGATTTTTACTAATTTTTTGAAAAATTTTAAATGGGTTAGCATGGTGGGTTAGGTTACAAGTGCATCAAAATATCGATATCTGATTGACAGCGTGTTATCTAAAAGCTGCACAAGTTCATTTTCACTGAAGTTTATTAAGATAACACGATGGAAAGCAAAATTTATCTCGTGAAAATAAATAAAATAATACTCTTTGAATCTAAGTTGATTTATTAAACGTTCTCTAACCCAGTGTGAGTTCATCGGGGGACTCACAATCTTTTCAAATTATTTATTTCAAAAAATAATTTTTGTTAAATGTGGCAACATGTTTCGGGAATAGTTGCTTTTGTCATTTGGACCTGATGATGGCAAGTAACTCCCGTAATTGTCGAAACTACTTGACCTATGAGTCCCCTTCCCCTCGCTAGAGGTTTTGCATTTAAGTTGATTTATGTTAAAAGATTAAATAATGCATTTTTTACCTTATTTATGTAACCTAAGAATTTAATATGTTATATTTTTAGAAAGCTCATAACAATGCAAATAAAATATAAAAAATTAATTTACAGTTTATTTTTTAGATAAACGGGTAGAAAAAACGATATCAATGATTTTTAATATATTTTTATAGGGAAAATGAAAGAACCACATTTTAAATATATCTTTAATTTCAAAATATCCTGTCCATTTTTTTTCATAATTTAATACTATGCAATATAATATTTTTTTAATATATCATAATTATAATTACTTTTACATTTTCTTTTTGAGTAATCAAATTTCTTCATGGTACCTCATCTAGTTGCCTCATGAAATGAATGGTTTGTTGGTCTTTGTAATGTTATTTTTGTTTAACGTTCTACTTCTCTACATGTCCCATCTTCTGCCAGCTCTAAAGGTTTCTTGCAAAGAGGTAAAATTATGGGCCGAATTAGAGGAAGTATACTCTAAAAAAGAAAAAAAATTATATTGTATATTGAAAACTACACTCACCGGCACGAAAAACGCGGGGCACCTTAAAATTTTCGTGTATTTTAAAGTTTTATATGTTGTGTTTTAGTGGACCGATTTTGATTATTTTTTAAGCAATTTGTAGCTAAATTATTTGACTTTTTAGTGTCTCTTTCTAATTTAATAATGAAAGTTTTCTCTGTCAATTATACGAGGGTAAAAAAAAATTAATATTATGTGAAAGTTTGAAACACCCTGTGAAGTACGTTATTAAAGCAATGAATTTAAAAATAATTTTGTCATCTAGGGGTATTTCTTTTCGATAGTGTGTTTTTTGGTTCATCTCAATTGCTTAATTTTCTTTGGAGATATTCGCTTTAAAAGAAAACATTTTCTGGTATTTTTACATTAAAACCATAGTTCTGCTTTTGGTTCTAGTCAACAGACATAAAATAGTATTTATGATTCATGTAATGTCACTGTCTTTGAAAAATCATATTATTCTTGTCTTGGGCAGTTACTCTAGCAGACATGGTTTTAAGCCCAAAAGTTCATCTCTATCATGATCAATTAAGGCAGCAATTGCCGATACGTCAGAACTCAAAACAATCTCTACTAGAGTAAACGTCAATAAATAATTATAATAATATGATTTTTCAATGATAGTGACATTACATAAAAAATAAACACTATTTTATAAGTGTGTTGAAGAGGACCCAAAAGCAATGCTTTCAATGTTAAAATTGCTGTAAATCGTTACCGCTTTATTCAAAAGAGAAAATCTCTAATAAAGATAAAGCTATATATTTAGATGAATCAAAAAAACAACTATCGAGAAAAGACGTACCTAGATGATGAAGTAATTTTTAAATTCCTCGCTTTGTTAGTATATTCCAGTATTTTGGTGAAAGTTTGAAACACCCCTTCAAACTTTCACCAAAAGATCAACATTCTGTTTTTCCTCGTATAATTGACAGATGGGAAAATTCATTTTTAATTTAGAAAGAGATACTGAAAAGTAAAATAATTTAGCTACAAATTCCTTAAAAAATCATCAAAATCAGCCCACTAAAATGAAATGTATTAGACGTTAAAATACATGAAAATTTTAAGCTGCCCGTTTTTCGTGCCGGTGAGTGTATAATCACAGGTTTGGTTTGGTTTGGTTTTCCGATATTTAACTGACTATAACTTTTTTATTTTTTGAAGATAGGACATTCTATTTTTATACATTTATATGGAACTAGCGTGTACTAGCGACTTCGTTCGCGTCGAATTAATCATTTGTAATGGTGATGATAAAGCAAAGCAAGAATTTTCATTAACATACAAACTGGATAAAATTTTCTCACATTTATGTCAGCATGAGAAAAAAACAATATTGCGATATTATTATATAACTTGGTAATATTTGAGAGGTAGTTTCATCTCGTTGGAATTTGACTTTCAAAACATCCGTTTGCCAAAAATATGTTTTTTACGTCAAGCAGTTTAAGCGGAATCGTGGTTAAGAAATTACCCAACTTTTTGGAACACCGTGTATGATTTTTTAAAGAAATCCAAATATGTAAAAAAGCCAAATAAATTATGCTTGTCCAAGCGTTTTCCCGAACTAACCGTTTTTTAAATAACAAATATTGTAATATTTGAGGGACGTTTTCACCATCTTGGAATTTGAGATTCGAGAAACCCTTCCTTATCGAACCTCTACACCCCGCAGTCAATCCGTTTACCAAAAATCAGCTTTAAACGTCGAGCAGTTTAAGCAGAATCGTGATTACTCAATGGTCATATTTTATGAAACACCCTGTATAAATTTATAAAAAAGCTTAAGATATGTAAAACAACAAAATAAAATATACGTGTTTAAGAGTTTTTTCCGAAAAACTCACCGGTTTTTAAATAAAAAATATTTTAATATTTGAGGGATAGTTTCACCCGCTTAGAATTCGAGTTTCGAAAAATCCCTTCTTATCGAACCTCTACACCCTAAAGTCAATCTGTTTTCCAAAAATCAGCTTTTTACGTCAAGCGCTTTAAGCAGGATCGTGATTAATCAATGACCTGATTTTTGGAAACACCCTGTATACATTTTTAAAAAATCTTAAAATATGTAAAAAAAAACAAAATAAAATATACGGGTTTAAGCGTTTTTTCGAAAACTTGACCGTGTTTTAAATAAAAAATATTGTAATATTTGAGGGGTGGTTTCACCCTCTTGGAACTGGAATTTCGAAAAATCCCTTCTTATCGAACCTCTACACCCTAGAATCAATCTGTATGCCAAAATTGAGCTTCTTACGTTGAGTGGTTTGAGCAGGATCGTGATTAATCAGTATGTCAGTCACTTAAGGATTTTATATATTAGTATAGATTTGAATGAGACTAACAACAAGGGCTGTTTGAAATCAGAAAGAAATGTGCTGTTTAATACAACTTCTTATGTATATGTCACGGTTAAAGTCCGATGTCCGGTTAATGTCGACATTAACAGGTTAATGTTTTTTTTTTGCTTGTTTTGTTGTATGTTATTCTCGAGATTAATCGGGTAATGTCGATACTAACCGAATATCGGACCTTAACCGTAACATATACACTGTCTTTTGTATATGAAAGAAATGTGCTATCTTATGCAATAATTGACACATTGACAATGGCTAAAAATCATTGTCAAGGTGTCAACTTGTTTACGACTAAAAAGTCGTGACAGTACAAAAATAAATAATTAATAGTTTTCTGAGAGTAATTAACATTTACATATTTTAAACAGTTTTTCTTTATTCTTTTTGATTTTTTGCTTCTTTTGTCCCATTAGTAAGCATTTTTGTTGGTTAGGCAATTTATTTACGAGCAAAGACAACAAAAAATATCTTTGTTTCTTTAGTTTTATGTTTCAGTAGCGAAATACTCAGAAGTTTTTTAAGAATTAAATCAGCAGAAAGTTATAAACATTATTTAGTTACTTACTTCAATTGGACTTTGAGTTACAGTCGCTGGGGCATTTTCGATGTTATCTATCATTATCAGAAAAAAACACATTACCAAAAGGCAGTACTTCACACAAGCCATCTTGTTCTGTTTTATGGAGGACTACATACCGCAAACTAGATTTAAAAATTAGTTACTCTCATTTTATATAAATATTTCATCTCTATTAACAGGAAATACCTACATTAATTACTTCATAATTCTGCTTTTTCTTAACATTTAATTAAAAATAGATAAAAATAGAATTAAATTCATACTCAATAATATTTTTTCTTAGTAAAATACAAATAAATAAGTATTATACGTATCAATTAAAGATGAATAAAACCGATAATATACCGGGTGGTGCAGAGGCGTTGGAAACAGGGAATCCCATACAAATTTTGAACTGTCTAAGTATTGGCTCCCCTACTAATTTTACAACGACGCCGTAAATAATTTTTTTAAAGGATTGCGTATATTGAATACACATGCGAAATTTGAACAATTTTGGACATCCGATTTTAAGTAATTTAAGAAAAACTATTTGAAAATTAAAACTATAATAACTAAAATAAATCTGTAAGAGCGAGTAAGAAAAATATAATATTTTTTGTTTGTTTATATAGCATAATATATGAATGGTGTTAATATCTATTTAATATTCAAACAACATAAACAAAAGAAGCTAAACTCACCTTAGATGCCGGGACACTTGTGTAATGCTCTCACTCTATGATCACGCAATTTGCAATCTATAAAAATAAAATATACTTGAGCATCACTGGAAAACGCACATGATCACATCACCATAATCGAGTATATAAAATAGTTAAATATTTTTGTTGTTCCGTAGCTAAGCGACAAGGCGTCTGTCCCACACGCAAAAGGGATGGCCACAAAGCGACATAGCATAATGTTGTTGTTCCGCAGCTAAGCGACAAGGCGTCTGTCCCACACGCAAAAGGGATGGCCACAAAGCGACATAGCATAATGTTGTTGTTCCGCAGCTAAGCGACAAGGCGTCTGTCCCACACGCAAAAGGGATGGCCACAAAGCGACATAGCTTAATATTGTTGTTAAACAATTTGGGTCATACGTAAAAATATAAAACACTCCAAAATAATAATACTAAATACCATTTGATAATTTGCCAGGTATTATAAATCACACCCAATAAATATTACTAAAATACTCTTTGATAAATAGCTGTCCATTACGTATCTATAATAAATAACACTAAAACACTCTTTGATAAACATCTATCTTTTAACTAAACTATATTAAAATGCCCTTTGATAAACACTTGTCTACTATAAAACACACACACAGAAAAGTAATACTAAAATACCCTTCTCTATCTACTACTAAAGCTCAATAACTGTTAACTGAATAATATTAAACTACTCTCATACAAATCCCAGTAATGCCCGTGAGTGAACAAAATACACTCACCTGTATAATACTTCATTCCTTCTATTCAGTCCCAGAAATATTTTCCACACAATTATAATCTGAATTTAATATTTTTTGATAAATGGCGACGTCAGTCAAAATAATCATCAACAATGCAAACCGCATCGTCTAGGAAACGACATTTTATACATGCGGTCAAGAAAAGTCAATTAGAGATTAAAATAAAATATTATTTCTTAAAATAACACAATTTAATATAAACAATTTTTAACGGAAAACAAGACTCTTACAAATCTATTTTTAAAGTAAAACTATAGTAAAACTGAATAGCTAACACTGCAAAACCAGGCAATACCTTAAGTTGTCAATTTATTATTTTGTCAATGTCAAATTAAAATATTAACCGTAAGGTACTATAACCAATGGCACAACTAGGGAGGGGCCGGGGGGGGCTTAGGTGAGGCCTAGGCGAGGGCCTAGGTGACTGGTATGAGTCTTTTAAAATTGGTTTTAATCTAAATATATACTATCTTATAGTGACCTAAGCCCCCCAGAAGACTTGAGCCCCCTTAGAAGCCTGTATCTAGTTGCGCAACTGCTATAACGTAGTGGTCCAAATAGCTCGCAACAAATTACATTTGAAAATAATAAAATCATAGGTTGACAATTTAAGGTTTGTTGACATTTTTCTGTTTTTGCATTGTTACCTGTTCAGTTTTAATTTAGATGCAGCTTTTCTTAAATAAGTTAAAATCGGCTTGTTCAGAATTGTTCAAATTTGGCACGTGTATTCGGCATACACCGACCTTTAAAAATCCTATTTACGACTTGGCTGTAAAATCAATAGGAGAGCCAATATTTGGACAGTTCAAAATTTTCATCGGGTTTCCTATGTTTTCAACACCGATGCACCAACGTTGGACATATGATCATTTGCCACATTGTGTAGGAGACACACTTGTAAATTGCAATATTGTCGAAGCCTATGCCAAATTATGCGTGCAACGTTGGTTCCAACGTTGAAACCAACGTTGAAGGCATCGTGTAGGACCGGCTTAATATAAATGACCGGTTGACAGACAGAGAAAGAAACAAAATCAAAAGTGGCATACAGTGTTGCAGGTTTTTACGTTTTTAGGAAAATTTGTGTAGAAAAAAAATATACTATTTTAAAAACTTTCATATATACTACCGAAATGAAGATAATATATCTAAGCTAAATATAATTTATTACATCTGTAGTAAAATAAGTAACTAATTGTGAAAATTAAGGTTCCAACCCTAGAGCAACATTTTCCATAAATGCCTACTTGTAGGGTTTGAACTTTTGATGCAAAATCCGGCAGTACCGCATAGAAGAAATGTATCAACCTAACTTTTATCTCCTTTTAATACATTTAATTTTCCATTCAGCTGCCTACATCACTGTCTTACACTTTAAACTCCAAATCACACTTCTAAAATGACTAAATCGGTATACTGAGTAGAGGTTTCATTTTATTTTCATCAATAAAGTAAAAAATTCATTTCTATTTTTTTTTTAATATAAGGGAGCGGTTTAAATTAGGTAATAAAAATAATCGAATAATTTATTCAACGTCAAATGGCTATTGGCTCTTTCATGCTAGTTTCCGTGTTGCGAAGTTATTGCACAAGTGCATCAAAAATATCAATAACTCTGACAGCGTGTTATATAAAAGCTGTAGAAGTTCATCTTCAGTGCAGTTTATTAAGATATCACGACGGAAAACAAAATGTATCTAAAATGTATCTGATTAAATGAAATTAAATAATATGATTATATATTTTAATGTAGGTTGATTTATTTTAAAAAATTAAATACCTAATGCATCTTCTTTATGAAAGTTTGAGTCGTATACACACATACATAATATTTCGAAAATTACAGCTTCCAGCAAAGTTCTAGTTACGCCACTGGATTCTACATGAAAATGTAGATGAAATGATTCTCCATAAAACAGACGAGAATAGGACACCCTGTACTCTAAAACAAATAAATCTGTTAAAGTCGAGCACAGCCGTACCATACCATCCTTTTTTCGAAGGTATTAGCGGCACTTTTGACCACCCTGTAACTTCGTTGTGGATAAAAAAGGTTAATCATTTTCACTACACATTAAGACATACTATAGCTAGCTAGGTTACCAAATTATCTAGTAATCATAACTTATAGTTTATGAATGATCGCTTGTCAAATTTCTTTAATTTCGACATTGACTCACTGACAGATCATCAAAATTCTAAGGTACTTCTATATGTGTCACAAAATATTCAAATAATTCAAAGTTTATGAATTACTGCTAGTTGCTAGTGAAACTTCTTTGATATTATTTTGAATAATATATTACCCGAGAAAAAAATAGGAGGACAACAAAAAGAAATTAGATCCCATCAAAAACATAGAATGTAAAGAAATGCCAAGTCTCGCAACACAATTCTTCCGTTATAAAAAGTTGTGCGATCTTATGTAAAACCAAGTCAGTGTATTTTATTTAGTCTCTCTTATTTCATTATATTACTCATATATATATCATCATATTTAGTCTCAGTCTTATTTTATTTAGTCTCTCTTATTTTATTTAGTATCTTTTCTTAGTCTACAATTTTGTTATAAATTGTTAGTATCAATATTATATTATAGTCATCTTTATTTCTGTAATAATTATAATGACTTGGCAATTGCACAGCACCATCTCTAAACAGTGCCAGTGCTCTAAGAAATGAAGTTTTTTAATTAGAATAGAATATCATATTGTTGCGGACCGGTGTGGACTCGACCTAACCTAACTATATGGCCCGCCCTCGGATGACCTTAACATCGCATTAAAGAATAGACACCGTAATGATTCATTCGAAGACTCGAGAAGAATCGAGTCCCACTGGAATGGAGAAGTACATACGAGAACATTCGAAGCCTTCTCTATGCACCTAACGATCTATGGACTATTCTAGTAAACTTTAACTGTAGGTATAAAAGCCGGCGGCTGTGGCCTAGAGAGGGCAGTTATAAATAGACAAGTACAGTTGACGCGCAAAAATTCAAAATAAATTCTTAGTTATAAATCGTTTGTAAATAGTTCTTTAAGTCTTTTATCGTTATTGTTTTTGTTAATTAGTGTTAAATAAATAGTGTTTAAATAAATTGTGACTTTCTATCCACACGGAACGGACGAAAAACGTAACAATATCGTGCCAAGTCATTATAATTATTACAGAAATAAAGATGACTAATATTGATATTAACAATGTATAACAAAATTGTTGAATAGGTGCTTAAAGGGAAACTAAACAAAATAAACTGACTTGAGGAAACTGACTTGCGAGACAGATGGAAAGAAAAGCATTTTGCAAGCCAGACTGAGAGACGTTTTGATTGAGGAAGGTGAGGATCCTGACATATTTTGCTTTGAGTTGGACTTTGACTCGTCCTTACAAAAATTAGAAGACAATTTGAATAGTAAAATAATTGACTTGGAAGTTAATTTAGAAGAGAAAATCAGTGATAAAATTAATATTTTAGAAGATAAGATCGCAGAAAATTCTAAAGACATACAGGCCAGCTTAATAAAATAATTAATTTAGAAGAAAAGATAACAGAAATTATAGAGAATTCTACGGAACTACAAGACAAAATATCACAAATTGAAGATGATGTAAACAGAAAAATCGAAATTTTACGGGAAGAAATAACGAAGTCAAATTCACCAAAATGTCAAG